CCCCGCCCCGCCGCACCCGCGTATTAGTAAACAACAAGAATAGGGAGCGGAAGGGTTGGGAGGAGAGGGGAGACGAAACGACGCATGGACGAGGAAACGGCGGCGGAGAAGACAGAGAGGAGCGAAAACGCTTTTGCGAACGGAGCAAGCGGCCAGTGATCAAACTAGCGCCGACCACCGAGGACCATACCGCGCCTCGCGACCCCGAACCACCGCGACCTACGCAGTCATTCGGATTTAATTGTACTTCGTCCCGTACGCAGTGTGCACACGTGTGCCTGGTCTGAGAATCGCTTCTTAATTGAGTGGAGCGGCTTATTATCGACCGCAATTGCCGCCACGCGCGCCGCCGCCACCAACCACCAACCACCACCACCAAACACCACCACCACCAACCACTACCAGCACCGGGTCCACCAGGGGGCAGCAGGCCGAGGGGGCCAGAGGTGAGCAAATAATTAAGTCTAGACACGATTTCATTTTTTTTAAGAGCAAAAAAAGTTCTTAGTAGTTGTAGTAGTCCGAATGATTCAAAGGTCGAGGTTCTTTTGTACTCGATGCATCAAGGCGTGATAGCAAAAGGTTTTTCTTTCTTTCGTTTTTTTTTTTTTTTGAGGGGGGGGATAAGGAGAGTGGGAGAAGAGGGATGTTTTGAAGAGAGAGGGAGAGTGCACACTGTGAACTACCGTTTCGCAAAACAGCCAAATAAAAATAAATTCAAGAGTTTAATACAATTTCGGAACACTGAACTAAAATTTTCAGTCCAAACACTTGAGTGTTGCAAAGTACCAAAATTTGCAGCTTTGACACCTGCATGAGGTATTCGATGACACATAACAGTGTTAAACATTTACCAATAAGGTCTCGCCAGTTGCGCACACTTCGCAAGATATCAGTGAAATTGCGCGCGCAGGGGGGGAAGTCCTGCAGGAGGAGGCAGGCGGGGGCGCAGCAGCAGGCGCCACACGACGGCACGCTGCGCAGCGCGCGGACCGGCCCGTCCGATCAGCTGATGAGTGCGTAAACACAACACACCGCCCCCCTCCCTCCCGGCCGGCCACACGGGCGGACCGGACCCGGCGAGCGCGGCGCGACACACGCGTCACCGCGCGCCTATACCGCGGCCGGCTGCCGGCTGGCGGGCGGGAAGGTATTTATTGTTATTCTCGCGAGTATTGCGCCGCCGTGAGGCAGAGTGACCAATCCGCGGTCGCGGTTATTCGGAAGCAGCTCGCCCGCCCGCCCGCCGGCCCCTCTCTGCGCGCCCTTGCATATGATAAGTTGTTGTCGTGTTATGACTGCCTGATGCGGCTGCGTGCGAACCTGCTCGCGGCCTCTGCGGCTCTGAAATCGCGCAGCCGGACGCACACGGCCGGAAAATAATAATAATAATAAAAAGTGCTGAAAACAGCCGCCACAGCTTCGGCGCTGCTGCGGGACACTGCGCGCCGCGCAGGTTCACAGCGCGGCCGGGAGTGGGCGGGTCTGTGTGTGTGTGTGTGTCGCAGAGAGAAAAGGAGGCGGGGAAAACAATGCTTGTTGCGACTCGTAAAGCAGCGCGACGACGTCACTGCGGACGAAAATCACACGTAGACGAAAAACGAAGCATAAAGTTATTGCAGCAGGGGGCGGCGATGACGGAATAATTTCCTGCGTCTTCACCTCTCGTGTCCCCCTCCCCTGCCGCCTGGTCGTCGGCGCCCGTTCGCTACGCAGTAATGAAGGTCTACAAGTACATAATATTTGTTCATGAAAGCAGCAGTACACGTATGTCCACGATAAGCGGCCCTCAATGGACGTTTCCCCGAGTTTGTTTTTCGGTGGCGCGCGCGTGGCCGTAGGGCGGACTCGACACTTCAAATAAAAGGCTTTCACTATTTACAGCGAATGTCGGATTTTTCCGGGATAAGGCAGCATCTGTTTGAAGGTTGCGAAAATTTCTGAAAATTACGATCATTAATGTTTTCTGTGTTTTTCTTTTTTTGCTTTTTCTTTTCTATTTTCAAAAAATTCTCTTCCTTTTTGTAAATATTTTTTTGTCATTTATTAAAATTAAAAAACCGATTTTTCGACACAAAAAAATGTGGATGACTCATGCATTTAAAAAAATGAAGTAAGTAAACCGTGACATATGCTTGTCACACATCAATTACGGGTGACATTGGTCGTCACACTCATATTTGCGAAAGTGCTTACACGCGTCTTAGTGTATCTATCCACATTTCGACAAATAATTAGTGTATCACAGGTTGAACGGGTGTTACCCAAGGGCACGCGATTGACTTTGACTCCACTCAACCGAAACGTCACCCGCCACTCAGACGTTATCTCCCCTAGACGCGGAAAGGATTACGTTCACGGCGGTCCCAGGAGCGGGAGTGCAGGACAATAGGGATAGGAAAGCTAGAAGAAGATAGGACTCGTCTAGAACGCAGGGGGACCGTATGCCCACTCGGCTCGCATGTCAACAGTGAGCACGGACAGGGGGGAAAGGGGGAGGGGGGAAATTGCAGGTCATATGGGTGGGGTCAGGATAAAGTATAGAGTACGAAAATGACGCCTGCTCGCTAGGCGACGCCCCTGGGCTGGGCTTCCTGGCACTCACTCTCCTCTTCCGTATATGAACACACAAAAAAAATGTCATCGTCCAGTCCCAGTCCTGAATTAGATTATGCAGTAAAAAACATTACATGCGGACGTCTTTCCAATACAAAAAATTCAGCTTTGCCTATTAAAAACTAGTTTGCTGGTTTTGAATGTTGATTCTCTTGTTCTCTGGTCTTATTGAGAGTTACATATATGACCCCTTAACCTTACTGAATGTTACTTTCTGTTTCGTCTAGGTGTCTTTTGAAACAGTATCATTTGCTAAAAAATAACAAAATTTTAGGAGAAAAAAAACAAAATTTCATCCCTATCTCGAAAATACAAATTTTTCGGTGAAAAGAGCGTGCGTTTTCCTGCGGATTTTTCTCCCTGTATCTGGGTGTATATGTGCCACATAGGTCCACGTGGTACGGTCACACACTCCCACGTGGCCACGTCGCTGGATACAAACAGTGCCCGAGCTTGTTGCTGGCGGGCTGGGCTGGGCTAGGCCAGCAGGCCGCGTGCGCGCAGCTCAACTGATCATAAGTGTCCCCCTCTGTGCTCTGTGCGATACCGTCCGCACGAAACAGCGCAGCCTAGCAACCGCGCCAGCACCTCAAACGTTGGACTGAAGTGTTTTTACACCTTTGAGCAGGTGGTGTACTTTTGAACTGTGAGATGTTGGAGGCTGCAAGAGTGCTGAGAAGGACGTTACATGGACGTGCTGTGTGTGTACCACCCGCTTCAAAATGCTGGAATAAAGTAGCGGCAAATATCAAGCAGTTATTGCGTCATTCAGCTGAAATGACCCCCCCCCCATAGCTCCCAAAAAACGATACTTACACTCAAACGCACACGAACACACATATGTGCTGAGGGGGAGAGGGGATACCGCCGCGAAAGAGAGGCGCAGCGACGAATGGAGGGCGCGAAAAAACAAAGTCCTAGCAGCGCGTTTGGCTTGGGAGTCGTTGACCCGGACCTCCCTCCCGACCCCGCC